TCTCAGCTTCAGTCACTTTCTCACCACCATAATGTAACCTCTCTATGCCTTTTCTATAAATACTTTCATGGTAATTGTTCCGATGACTCTATGGTACCTAAACTTTATGAATTAATGTGAAGTACTAGATTAGCAATAAGATCTCATCATTTTACAGTTGAAATTACTAGATGTAACTGTAACTTTTATGCTAACATTTTCTTCTCTTGCACTTTTTGCTTGTGGAACTCTCTTCCAGGTTCTTATTTTCCAATTAATTTTAATCTTCAAAAGTTTAAACACAATGTCAATTGTTATCTTAATTCTTGTTCTTTTATTGTTCTCTCTCCTTAATAGTGCTTTTTTCCCCATATTCCCCATAGGAAGAGTATATGCGAATATGAAAGAGGAGATTTGCACATGTACATACAAAAAGAAAGAAAGAAAGAAAGGAAGGAAGGAAGGAAGGAAGATAGTAAATTAGCAACTGGTGTCCCTGGGTTTGTAATTGGTAGGTTTTGTGGGTAGCAGTCAGCTGGGTTCATTTGAAGTTGCAGCAGTACAAGTCAGTTCTTTTGATACAAGTGAATTTTCTACTACTGACTTTTTCAGGTTACCATCTTGTTTTTTATTTGTCTTCAGATTAACTTCTGGCTATGAGGCTTAGAGGTTTTGAAAACTAAATAGAATGATTTGATTGGTTAATTATTTATTCTATTTGAATGAACACAAGATGGATTCTCTGTGCCCCAGGGATCTATTTTTGGACCTATACTGTTTTTTATTTTCATCAACAAACTTCCTGATGTCATCAGTTCCTGACTTGGTATCTATGCTGATGACATAACTATTTACTCCTGTCTTAATAGCAAATCTGATAAGTTTGATATCATCAAATTGGCAGCTGATCTTGAAAATGACCTACAATCTGTTGTTAACTGGGGCAAAAAGTGATTTTGATGCCTCTAAAACAAAACTGCTCTCCTAGATAATCACCATGTTACCAAATGGCCTAGTGGATTAAAGCAAAATTTGTTGATATAGTGATTGTGAGTTCAATCGCTGGGCCGGGGAGTCTGTATTTGCATTCAGTGGAAATGGGCGAGCAGTAAATAATCGGTACTAAATAAAAATATGAACTAAACGATATCCTAGAAATGAGCAGTCAAACTGATGTAATGGAATAACCTGTCACCCCCATGAGTAACTATAGATAGTAACTACCTATAAGTATTGGTAAGTTACTGGACTATTGAGTCTAGCTGGGATCTGTTGAGTACGACTCAGACTTACGTGAGAACTACCGACTTTCCAATAGTAGCACTCGCTACTGCAATGACCTTGTGTATAACTGTTACCTTTATTCTTATTGTACTGGTTTTTACAATAAACCTTTACTTATTTATCCACCGTCAAGTATATATTCCTATTAGCTCGGAATATAACACAAACAAAAACACTCCAGCTGTGTAGATTAAATAAAGGGCTCAGTTTAGAATTACCTGTAGGTTACCCAGATTGATATGCACCTGGGAAAGGCTGGAGGTTACAACTTTTTTGGCAGAAATGTTGTGATAACAACAACAAAGATGAGGACAATAGTCTAAACAATATATATATATATATATATATATATATATATATATATATATATATAGGTATGCATTTGAATAAATCAAATGACCAAATATAAGCAATCGTATACGCGCGTGTTGGCATGCATAGACAGGCAAGCAAATAAATAATCATAAAATTTATTCATGAGGTGTAAACATAACAGTGCCCGATGTAAGTAGGCAGAGCAAAGATATATATTAATAAATATACATATACAATCACAGACCTATATGTAAGTATCTATCTATCTATCTATCTATATATATATATATACATATATATATAGAGAGAGAGAGAGAGAAATTGAAACATAACCCAATATGTATAGCTATTTCATCTCACAAGAACAACCTTGCAGGATTGTCAACACCAAGAGGTTAGGAAATAAAACTAATAATTCTTTCCTAACCCCTTCATGTTGACAATCCTGCAAGGTTGTTCTTGTGGGGTGAAATAGCTATATATATAGGATATTTTTGAATTTCTCTTATATATCATTTATTTATTTATATATGATCTGTTTATATAAATGCATTGAGCTTTCTTTGTGGATCAGTTTTAATATTTTATATTATTAGGATTCACTTGGATTATTTACTTATGGATTTATATATATATATATATATATATATATATGTCCTCCAACAGGAATGGAACCTGTATCCTACATGGAACCATCATTTGGTCTAACGTGCTATACCATTTAGCTACAGAGGGAGCATCTGGTTAGCAAAGTCAATTTACTTTTTTTAAACAACAAATTTCGCATGATTTTTCTCAAATGATCATATCTGCTCGAAGTGTATCTTAACATAAACAAATGACAACATATATTATGAAATGTACTGATTATTATGTACAATTATTTTAATATATTTTCTGTTTATACATTATTTTTATAGATACAAATATTTAAGTAAATACTCTGTTTATAATAAACAGTATTAACTAAATTAATCAGCCAAGAAATTTCGTAGAAAATATGTGTCCTCCGACAGGAATCAAACCTGCATCCTACACAGAACTGTCATTTCGCCTGACACATTCCATACTATTTAGCTACAGAGCATTTACTTAAATATTTTATCTATAAAAATAATGTATACAGAAAAATATATTAAAATAATTGTTGAACTTAGTTCAGTTTATTTTATATATATATATATATATATATATATATATATATATATATATATATATATATATATATATATATATATATATATATGGCCTCTGAGTGTTGACTTCAGTGTTCACTTTTATATTTACATGATATTGATATTTACTCTGATATTGAGCACTTTATCTCATAAATATAGCATACCCTAAAACTATATTTCTTCATATATATATATATATATATATATATATATATATATCTTTTAGAAGGTTCACCCTATATAAGGCTTGGAGCCACTTAAGGTAGAGTGTTACTTTAAGGAGTAGTTTATATGGATAGGATAGGAGGGGAAGGTAATGGTTAACTCTAGGCTTGAACAGATTAAGATTGTAATGATCAGGGAAACATCCTCTTGGGAGTTTGTTCCACAGAGCAGTGATTCACAGGAAGAAGCTGTTTGAGTGGAATTTACTTCTTACTCATGGAATATGGGAGGAATGTGGGTGGTTTGCTACAATGTAAGTGGCATATATAATGTATTTTCCATTTATATGTTATTTTTATAGAGATATTTATTTATTTCTAACTTATTTAAGTAAATGCTCATTTTTTTTCTTTTAATTAAACAGTATTAATTACATTTATCGGCCTGAGTGTTCAAGAAATTTCGTAGAAAATATATTCTTTTGCCACAGGAATCAAACCTGTAACCCTATGGGAACCATCATTTTATTTGGCGTGCTGTTTAAACATATAAAGAAATGTCTGATTAACAAAGTCCAAATTTCTGTTTAGTTTAAACATACACTTTCGACAATTTTTCTCGATCGATCATATCTTCTCGCACAACATCTTAACAACATATTATGAAATGGATTAAGTCTTACAATTATCTTATATTTTTTGTTTATACATTATTTTCTATAAATATAATTTATTTAGGTAAATGCTCTGTCTTTTAATTAAACAGCATTAATTACATTTCCTGGTCTGAATGAATTAATGAATGAATTAAAGGTTACAGGTTTGATTCCTGTCAGAGAAGCACATATTTTCTACAAAATTTCTCGGACATTCAGGCTGGTAAATGTAATTAATACTGTTTAATTAAAAAAACAGAGCACTTACTTAAATAAGTTATATATATATATATATATAATGACGCATAAATGGAAAATATAAAATAATTGTAGAACTTAATCTATTTCATAATATATATATTGGAGAAAATGATATATAAACTTTTTATATACCAGAACAATGTTAGGAAAATTGCTAACAAAGTGGAAAAAATTTCAGTATCCTCTCTTCTTCATGTGAATGTGTAGTTTCATCAATGTAAACATCACTTTTTAGTCCAATGAAGTCCTAAACTCATTCAAAGTTATTTTATGAGATCCAAATTGGAACTGATCTTTCAGAAAATTAACCATTACATAACTTTTTTTTTCTATTATATTGGATAAAAATTTATATTCCCATAATTTCTTATGTAATTTATGTCTGAAAATTGGCAATATTTTAAAACATCAACATGAAAATTCTGAAAATATGACATTTAATTAGATGCCCACTAAGTCTTTTTCTTGATATTTAGAGAGTTTTACTTTTAATCTTTTACTCCTTAAGTTCAATAGTTGATAAAAAAGTGATATCATTTAAACTCCAAACTTTTTTGAATAGTGAAATATATTTCCTGTTATTTGTTTTTAAAGATATATCCACCTTTGTTATATATGGATACCGCACAGAAAAAGGAAGAATTTAAAGAGGAAATTATTGACTTACCTTATTTTGATAGAGAATTTCACAGTTGAGGTAAATTTAAGAGAAGAATAATTCAGGTTTGTTTTCTGCACGTAGAAAGAGATTATCCTCTTTTATTTGAATTTAAATAAAATATAAAAGTATTCCAAACACAATGACTAACTAGTGTGGCAGTGCAATGAACCAACAAACATGTGAGTATTTGTTGTGTATTTGGATGTATCCATGGAGACTCCAAAGAAGTGCGGTAGACAATTCATATTGCGCATGTGTTTCCGGATGTGACGTCAATGACGCTTCTGGCCGGGTGCTAGGTCACGTGAGCTGCTAGCCAACATGGCGCTGTAGGTAAGAGGCCGTCTGTCTGATAGCCGACTGGCGCTCGTTTCTAATTATTTAACATCTTGTGTCTTTTATTGATTGTTATCATAGACATTTGTCGATGCAAACTGGATTATTTTCTGGGGGGAAACGGATATAAATCTGCTTACTATTTTACCTTAATGCACCACTAATCATGGGCGTGTGGTGCAAGGTAGATTCGGACACACGCTACGCCGTTGGTAAGTCCCTTTTGGTTCTATTTCTTTTTGTTATCAAAGATAGACAGGTCCCGATCGTTTTCCTACCGTACACTTCTTTTTTTTTTTATATTTGTATACTCATCACATGTTTTTCTTTTAGCATTTTCCTCTTTTATTCATTTTAAAATGTATTGGAAAACTTTTTCTGTTCACTTTTCCGCAAACGTTTTCTGTTTTTGTTTGTTTCGCCTAAGTAATGAAAAGTTTGTTTGTCATGGTGCCATAAAGACGGTGTTCATTTTAATAGAGGCTGACTACTAAAAACTGATCCCTTCACAGGGAACTTGAAAATTCGGTTATAAAATTGGATCATTCAGTTTATTATATTTGTTTTTTTTTCTTTGTTTGTTTATGAATTTGTAATTTGTGTGTACTTTTATCATAATCATGAATAATTATAGCAAAAGTTTGAAAAGCGTAAAAAATAAATACTTTAAAAAAAATTTTTTTTATTGATTTGTTAATCGATTTGTTTTGCAATTCCGATATTTTTCTTAATATAATTTGCTAAATATTTTTAGTGTCACATGTTAATTATTTAAATTTTGAAGACAAAATGTTTTTTCCCTTTTTAATTAATTTATCTTTTTAAAATCTAACGTTGATTTTGCTAAAGTTCTGTTAAACCAATAAAAATGGAAACTTTTTTTTTTATCATAAACAAACTTTTTTTTTCGTCAGTTTTCCTCACTAAAAATGTCTTGACTTTTTTTTTATGGTATAATTTTTCATTTTTTTTTTTTTTTTTTTTTAAAAAGAGGGTCCTTTGTTTTTTTTTCTTACTGATCAGATACCGTAAAGGTATGATTTATTTTCCTTTTTGTCAGATTTTTTATTTGCTAAAACACGCCAACACTGACCGTCTGTGTTGGCGTGTTTTGATAAATAACATTCTGCCAATCCAAAAAGGATTGTATCTTCTTGTCGCATGATCAGTAAGAAAAAAAGGCAACTTTATTCTTTCAATAAACTTTATTTTATTATTGAAAAATTAGCAAATTATTTTTAGGCCCTAAACACGCTGTAAGATTCATTTTAAATTTTAATTTTTCAATCTTTTATTTTTTATCAAAAGAATGCTAAAACAATTTTTACTCGGCGAACCAATCCTTTTCTATTTTTAAATTTAAATGTTTTGAAATCTCTATTGTCAATGTCAATTTATTTGAGTCTCGAGCATTTTTTTTGTTTCTGTTTTAAAGTTAATCCAGTTCTTGGCTATTTCTTTAGCAGTTGTAGTAAAAAACAATTTTTTAAACTTAAGCAAAAAACTGTTCACTGCTTAAATTTAAAGTAAAAAAAAAACTATTTTATTTTCCTTTCAAATATTTGGGTTCGCAAAGATTAATGTAAAAAAAAATAAGTAAATATAATACTGTTAGAATTAAAATTTTATGAAAAGCTGAAACAAGATACATTAAAAAAAATGTGTGTTGGTAGAATTTTTAAATTAAGGAATGAGATTTCGAAGGTTCTAAAAAGGACTCAACAATTCTGAGTTTTCTTCTTAGTGACGAAGAAAACGTGGGGTCATTACGTTCGTCAGTTAATGAATTTCTTAATACGATTGATTATTAATGTAGTAGAAAAATTATTTAAAAAAAAATTATCCCTTTCTTCATTCACTGTCTTTATGAAAACCTAAAAGTTAAAAACCATTATTTCTGCGTGTGAACTTAGTTTTGATGTTTTGGGTTACAAATCTTAATACGACAGTTTCGCCCTAAGGCTCTCTTTTTAGTTGACACTGACAGTGAACCTTAGACAAACAAAAATTATGCTTGATTATTTTTTTTTCCTCTTTCTTTTTAATTACTACAAAGTACTTGCTGTGATTGTCTATAATTTTCCACGATTTCTCTCTCGTAGTAGTAGTAGTAGTATTCGTACCTCCCTCCAGATGCAGCTGTTTTCTTTGTACTTGGCCTGGCTTGATTTCTTTTTTTGGTTGTGGTAGGGGAGGGACATTTTTGTATATAATGAAGCACTTGGCATATGTACATCGAGACAAAAGTCAACCAAATCTACTTTCTGTCCAGTTTCCAGTGAAGATGACGTATATTAATTTTAAGTTGGATCTTTAAACGTCTCCGTTTTTAACGGAGAGAAATCATTGTTTAAAGGAGCTCCTTGCTAAAGCACATTGGGAATGAGACGGGAGGAGGAGGAGTAACAACGGTTCTTAAACAAGAAAGGATTTTGGACACGGAAGCAATGACAGCATTTTATTTTTCAGTAATATCGAAGCAGCTATGATTCTGGCCTCGTTTTTCTAGGGATTAGATTTAGAAAATGCCTACGTAAATAAAAGTGCATGTCACAAATACCGATGTAAATAATACATTTTTTTAAAAGTCCATGAAGCCATCGGTCGATAAAAGCAGCAAATAATCAGGCTTGAAAGAAAGTATCATCCTTTTTTTTTTATCAAAGATTTTATTGTTGAAAAAGGAATAGTTCCATTTTTGAGTATGTATTGTTTGAGGTTGTCTTAGAACAGTTTGTCATTTTGCAGTAAAGATATTTTAAACAGGAATTGTAATTCAGTCCCTATTTGCATTGATCTTTTTGTGTTATTTTTGCTCTCTTGGAGAGGAATTTTTTTAGTTGATTCAAATTGGAAATGATTATACTGCTGATAAAATATTTCCTTGAAAAAGCGGACTTAAAAATATTTCACATGGTCAAGAAAATAGAGAAATTATAAAGATTCAATTGGCGATAACATCTGTGAGATTTATATTTTTTTTCATCCGAGTATTACAGAGAAAGTGACTCGAACAAAAAAAGTTAATAAGTTTCAACGACATAAATGGAGCTCATCTTTTAGAAATGTCAAGTGATTATTTTAGTTTGGCTTGATGGAATTTTAAATTTTTTTTTCGCATTATTTTAATTTGTTAGAAAACTAATTACGATAAAATTGTCGTCTAATTATATTTCAGTTTCATTTTGTAGGTGTTCAATATCACGTTAATTTTTCATGACGTTACCATTTTTTTCTATAATAACAAAAAACAAAAACAAACATGACATTTCTCAGCTTATCTTCAGCACATTTTATGATGTGACCAAATATTTTCTCTTAAACTGTACGGTTTTTATTTTACAATTACAACACTAACAACATTTTCCTTTATGTTGAGAAAAATGTCTTTTTTTTTTTTTTTATTCAGTAAATTCTTTTAAAGTTTTTGTTGAATATGAAACAAAGTAAAATGCAGAAAGACAAAACATCCCTAATTTAAAATTAAAAATTCTGAGAATTTCCCGTTCTGGCCTTTTCATAGGCTCGCCTCATTCTTCCAGTCGAATATTTGATGTCGATTGCCCTATTTCGTCAGTCCAATCCAAATTGTTTCAAATGTTTCTATCATTGCTTCCCCCCCCCCCCATTTGTCTTTCTTTATACTTTATGACTAGCGAGGGTAAGTGAAAATTTCTTATGTAATAAATAGCATAACTAGATATTTTCTTTTCTCCAGCTGAGATTTTTTTTTAGTAAATTTGCATCGTATTTATTACAATACAAGAATAGTTTAACAACAAAAAATTCTTAGAATTATTGCAGTCACATTTTGGAATAAAATCTATTCTATTTTTTTACACGCAAAACAATGTTATTCTCTTAAATGGAGTGGGATAAAAAAAATCTTTCTAAAGATTTTAAAATTGTTTATAGTACACGGGTTTACTTTGTTGACTGATCTCAACTTGGCTGTTAAAGTTGGTCGTCATTGTGTCTTCTAAAGAAAGATGCTGAAATACCCAGGGCCGAACAACGACAAAGTTTTATATAAACGAAAGGGACACTTATACATAGCATCAAAAAGAGACAGTTGAAATTTCTACAGCACATAAAGAGGAAAGAAGGCTTGGAAACTTTTATACAGGACAGATTGATTTTTTTTTTTACAATCCAGTCCAGAGATTGAACTCACAACTACCAAGTAACTAGATCTGCTTCTTAACCAACATTTTTTATTACCTATGATGTGTCTCCCATAGGATAATTCAGTGGCAGAAGTTTGGAACCTTAAAATCTAATGCTGCTTGTCTGTCTGTAATTGAACTAGTGTATATGATTTTTTTAAAAACTACCTCTAGTGTCATTTGGGGGCACTTCAACATGGTGTAATGATTAGTAAGCTTGTTTCGCTAGATCAATTACAATTGAGTTGTGAATTCAGTCCTTACTAGGTGCTCCACACTTTTGGCCTTGTGTCACTAGTTATGCTTAGAAAATCATTTAAAAAATTATACTTGCTTTGCTTCTGATTTGAAATTAATATTAGGGTCAAGCCCCAAAGAGCCATTCCCCCAGGCAGTACCTCTCCTTCAGGAGGAGGCTGGGGTTATCCAGTGGCTGAGGCTTCCCCAAAAGGGGAAGTGTTGAGGAGGCTTGAGCAATTTTCTCATGGTATTTATTATTTCTCATTGCCATTAAACCCATTTTAAACTGACCTTGTATGACATTGGGTAGCGAAAATACATACTTCTGTCATTGAGTGATGGAATTTGAGTTTGTAGTGGACCGTGGCTGTGATGTTGTTGAGTAGAAGAAACACGTGTGGGTTCAGATTTTCCTGCTAGTCGGTCCAACTACACGAGAAAGTTGGACTTTTAATTAAGTCCAAAGAAGAAGGCAAAGAAAAACAAACAAAACACAAGAATGATAATATATGTATACAAATATATATATTAATAACAGGTTACATAGAAACAGTTACAAAAGGACAAAGTGTGTGTGAATATTATATATGTGCGTTTGTGTGTGTTTATTGTGCTTAGCGTGTTCCCAGTATTTTGGGAAACGCTATCCCTGGTGAGCGTTCACATTTTCGAAGTGGTAAGGCTGGAAGCCTGAGGAAAAAAGAGAAAGAGGTGAAGGGTCAGCGACTATTTATAGCCAGGGAAGAGAGACCCCTGGTGAAAGGAACTAAAGGAGGAGTTAACTCCGACAAGTTTTTGATCTAATG